AACCTTATTGTTTCAATGAAACGGCGATTGCAGGCTGTATGTGACGCTAATGGCAGCCACACAAAGTATTAAAAAAAAATATTCCTGTTTTTTTAACATTGTTATTTAGTAATAAAGTTTCGTGTAAAAACACTTTATTGACAGCATAAAATTTGAATGTTTTTAGTTTTTTAATTTTATAAAATGTTTGGGTAATGTTATTTAACAATTCTTTTTGCCATTAAGTTCTAGGAAAAATATAGAATCGAAATAAATTAGAATTGAAAAAAAATTCTCACTTTTAGGTACATTTATTTTCAACTAAACCCAAAAAATTAGTTTTTTTTCGTTAGTCAAAACACTTTATTGACATACTGTAACTTGCGCTGTAAATCTGTCAAAACAAAAAATACCTTGTCGATGATGCAATTTGGCATACGAGAATATAAATAAGCCAAGTATAACAGTCGGGTACATACTCTGGCTTTAACATTCAAATTATAAATTCCCACACGCACACACATGTGCATATATGTATGTATGTGTGTGTATAAATATGCGATCGCTTGTTTTACTGGGCATCCGGCGCAGTCGCCGTCGCCGTCGGCACACGCCTAAGTAGTTGCTGTCACTTAAGTCGAGGGAGCGGCTGTTTCTGCTCACTGTTTGCCTGGGCTTGTGTCTGTATGTGTGTGCGCGCACGCCCGCTCTCTCGCACTGTTGCGCGCTCTCCGCGGCTTGCCAAACTGTTGAGAGAGAGGGAGAGAAAGAGCGTAAAGGTTGCCAGAGGCCACATAGACAAACAGGTAGATTCTATACAACTGACAACTGACAGCTGGCCTGAGCTGCGGGCTGTGGGCTGGGGGCCAGGGCGGTGGCAGGCGCGCGATTTTTAAATTCCAACGCTGCGCGACTGCGAACAAAATGTTAAAGTTTGAGAATAATTATGCGCTGTTCGCCAATGTGAAAAATGAGTATATCGGTTTGCGAAAAATGCCAAGCATATATAAATATGTGTGCAAATTTGGATAAATGACAGTTGGAGAGATACAACAATGTTAAATGAATATACAATTGGCAACATTTGCTAGTCACAGTTTGACAATCACGAACAATGGGATGAAAGTTAACCTAAGAATTGAAGCTGACCTTTTGACTTGTTTTACGGGCTGTCACAAAACAGCAAACAGGGTATTGCGCAGTCACTTACGGCCGACATTAAAATTGTATAGCTGTTGCGTTTGTGCCTTGAGCTCAGCATGGAATGTGGCCTGAGTCAGAGCCACAACGACTGCGCAATAGCTAAAGCCAAAAAGTGTGCTGGTCGCAAATGTGGGATGCTTAGTGAATTCCAAAGTTTTCACTTTCAGCTGTGACTCCGGGAAAACAGTCACAATTATCTGGCTGGCAAGATGGTCAATCATCATTCAAATGGTGGCGGCAGTGCCGGAAATAGCAGCGGTGGCGCCCATGGTGGTGGCGGCGGTGGCGACTATTCCGGCGATGATCGCAGCGGTGGCGAGGAGCGGGAGCGCCTGGATGGCGATCTGCATGACAAGCCCACATATCTGCTGGAGCATCTGGCCACGTTTACAGTGAACAAGGAGTCGGGCATTGTGTATCCCGCGGACGGCATGCGTCGGCTGTTGCAGCTGGAGAAGACCACAGGCATCTGGTCGCAGAAGATGCAACTGTGCCTGGACTATCAATGGGTGCTCATCATGGATTACGAAACGGGGGTAAGTCGACGCAACTCAAACACAATTCCGGGTGCTTAATGAAAGTCATCTTTTCAGAACATTATTGAACGCTTTCCCGCGTCGCTGGTGCAAGAACCTACCGCATTCACTTCCAACGACGCCATGGAGCTGTACAACAATATACTTGTCTTCATTGTATCGGGCGGCGGTGGTTCACGCTCCGAAATGCACATATTTCAGGTGAGTAATCCCGGTCAGCGCTCGTTTATCCATCTGACCATGTGTTCTTCTCCTCATGCAGTCACAAAGCGTTTCCGCCGTGCATCTGGTGGAGGATCTGAAGCAGTTGCGCAGCGGCAAAATGATAACACAGCAGCGTGGTGCCACGCCCACACAACATACAAGCGGCGCATCCAGTTCCGGCCTGGCGATGATGATGAGCAAAACATCCTCCTCCTCGTCGCACAGTCGCGCCACAGTCGAGCAACAGCATCATCAGCGTGAACAGCGCGATCGGGAGCGCGGTAGAGAGCGGGAAAGGGAACGGGAACGGGAGCGCGAACTACAACACCAGCATCACATGCATCATCAGCGGAGCAGCGTGGATCAGTATCGTGTATCGGCTGGCGCCGTCACCGATGTGGACGTTGGCCACAATGGCGAGACGGACTCGGAGCATGGTGGCATGGTCAATGATCGCGATGAGACGAGCTCCACGTCCAGCGAGAAATACGAACGGGATGTGGCCGTGCTGAATCATTGTTTCGATGACATCGAGAAGTTCATTGCCCGACTGCAGCACGCGGCGGCTGCGTCCAGGGAGTTAGAGCGACGTCGTCGCAATCGTAAGTCCAAGAAACGTGATCCCGGCGAGGGTTTGCTCACGCTGCGCACCCGGCCGCCGCATGAGAAGGAGTTCGTGGACATATTCGCCAAGTTTAAGCTTTCATTCAATTTGCTGGCCAAGTTGAAGGCGCACATACACGATCCCAATGCGCCGGAGCTGGTGCACTTTCTATTCACGCCGCTCGCCTTGATTGTGGAGGCATCCAGTGACACCTACTATGAGTCGCAGCTGCCCTCGCGCGTCATCAATCCCCTGCTGACGCGTGAGGCCATCAATTTGTTAATCAACTGCGTCACCAGCAAGGAGACGGAGCTGTGGCGCTCCCTTGGTGATGCCTGGGTCATACCGCGTGACCAGTGGAAGGAGGATGTCGGCTCCTATCATCCGGTATTTCTCGACGGCTGGTCACCCGATTATTTAGTCATTGACGAACTGGAGGCCACATCGCCGACGCACATCAGCAAGCGTCGCCTTGACGTCCAGCCGGGGCCGGGTCATCTGGCAGCTGCCGGCATGGGCCTGAACGGACGTGGCGCTGCCGGAGGCTATGATGATTACGACACGAATGGCATCGGCATCTCCCTAAGCGAGAAGTACACCATTCACCATGGCAACGATCGGAATCGGGATCGGGAACGTGATCGAGCCGGTGCCATAAGTGCCTCTGATTTTAATGCACGCAGCGAGCTCTCCTTCGATTCCATTGAGCGCGGCAGCGGCGCTGGCGTCCCGTCCAGTGGTGTAGCTGGCGGAGCCGCTCATGGTCATGGACCTGGTGCTGGACCCACCCTCAGCGCAATTACAGCGGGTCTACAGAATCTACACACACGCGAGTCCCGCAATGTCAGCAGCGTTGGCGGCAACTATGGACCCGGCGGCGGTGGCGTCTCTGAGATATCCGCTGTCACAGCACGTGGTGTGGGCAATGCCAATGCCAGCGAGGATCAGCTGCTCGAAGCGTGGCTGGAGGATCTGCAATCAACAGGCGCGAAAATTGTTCTGGTCACCTACCCGCGTACCGCCAACAATGACAAGGAGCTGAGCGTCATGCGCGGTGAATACTTGGAGGTAGGTTTCCCATAGGGCTTCCCATTAAGATTCCCATCAGCATCCACAGTCGAGTAGATCCCAGCCATGTATATCCAATCGACCATTTGTCTGTCTGTCATTTTAAATATATGCATAAACATTCCAAAAAGGTCTCCATTCAACTATCCAACATCCCACCAACATCGGAGGTAAGACCTGGGCTGCAATGTCTCGTTTATCAAACGCAGGTTGAGCTTTGATAACTAATCGATAAATTCTACGTTGCCACGATTGTCGATAAATATCGATATCTTTGCACTGGAATTCTTGTCATAGTAAATCATTTAAGATTTCTGGTATAAATCGGTGGGATTTCGGGTTTCCAACCTTGGTACGGGATAGCTCCCAGTCGGTTAGTTTTGACTATGTATTGCTGTGTTTCTCATGGTTTGCTCTCTGCCCCAAAATAGATACTGGATGACACACGCAAATGGTGGAAGGCGCGCAATATGCGCGGCCAGGTGGCCCATGTGCCGCACACGATTGTCACACCCTTCAATTATGGCGACGGCGAGGGCAACGGTCAGTTCTATGGCCAGCAGCAGACGGGCGCGAATAAGTCACGTCATTTGACGGCCGGCAATGTGGTAAGTCGGAAATCGAAACCCAATAAACCCAACACAATACAATCAAATCCGAATTTCTTAAGGACAATGCGAGCATGGATCAACGCTCGCCGGATGCCACGGACATGATGCGTAGCAAGCATCTGGGCAAGAAGGGCGAGTTCCGTTACTTTTAAAGGAGATTTCCAAAACCCAAAATATAATAACGAATAGTTGACCTTGACCTATGACATATGACAGAGCTGATGCGAAAAGGAATCGAACGAATGAACCCTACATATAATCGTAGCTTATATTTTCGTTTCGATTTGTATATGTGTGTTTTTATTCTAAAATGGAAACTCGAAACTAACCATAAGACTAACTATAAGTTGTACTTCATCGAAGTTTAGCCAAACACACACACACACACACACACATACTCAGCATCACAGTAGAGCGGGAAGTAAGTAGTGCATACCCAATGGTATATATATTGTTTATAAAAGAGTGTGGACTGGCGGCGAAAGCAATCAATTGTTTTAATAAAGCCTGGTCCTTGCAATAACTAAAGGAACCTACATAAAACAGAGTTGTGTTTAAGTGTACAATTTATCAATAATTATCGATTGTCACAGTTTTTTCGATAAAGCTTAGATTCAGTGCTGCCCATTTAGTTGACTTTTACCTATAGCTAGCTTTTTTCTTTTTGCTAAAGCAAGCTAGAATTAGCTGGAAATGAGCCTATCCTAAAATACAATTTCCATTTTTTTTGCGCGTTTTTGTTTTGTAATTACAAGACGTTAGCTTGAGCCCAATTTATATGTGAAAATTATCATGTTCTTTAAGAGAGTTTAATATATTTAATAAACTTGATAGACTATAGGTAGTTAGTTAACTGGTGTACAAGAAAAAATTCAACGATTGCAGCTAGCAAGGCTTTACTCGCTTCTAGCGATAGCACGGAATAATCTAAATAACAAATTTCGTCTTAGATAATGGACAATTTCTCGACACGCGAGAGCAGCGGCGAGTCCGAGTGATACTCCAAGCTTCTCACAGAAAAGTCACCCGCATCGTTGGTGAAACACTTGAGCGTGGATATGGAAAACGGGCGCATCGGGAAATTGTAATAGGTAAAATATTGTCCATTGACCGCGATGAGAAAGGAACGATCGCCAATGCCAAAGGCGATTTTGAAGAGCTTGCCTCGCACAAACGGAAACTCGCCCTCGGTTTCCTCATCATCGCTGGCATAGCTGCAGGAAACGTAAACGAAAAGAAAATGTGAGCGGCTTTTGTGGGTTGTGGTTCATTCGTCGGGGGGTCGCACCTGTTGTCCTCGCGCTGATAGCAACGCGTGACGGTCGTCTTGTCAAAGTTGACGTTGAACCTGAGCACCATGCGACCTGTGTCGTTGCACTGAAAACAAATAGAGAACTCCGTTGTGGGCGGTCCCTTGGCAATGCACTCCATGGCCACAACGGTGCCTGTCTCATAGCGACGCGGCACGTCGCTCTGGAAGGCGACGCGATCCACGCACATGAGACTGCGCGGAAAGACGAGCGGAAAGAGCATCCGATGATGGAATTGTGTGATCTTCTCGAAGTCCCCGTAGGCGCGCACATAGTTGATTTGCTTGGGAAACTTGAGGAACTCAAACGAACCGTAAAGCTGATCGTTCACGTAGATCTCGAAGCAGCGCTGCAGCACGGCCACGCGAAAGGTGAAACATTGACCCGGCACCAAGGGATTCTTGGGCCCATCACATTTCCAATTCTTGGAGATTTCCTCCTGCTGCCAGCCCTCGCCCGGCTGGAACATGCTGCGTATGATTTGACCCTCGCGGAAGTTCGCCTCAATTTTGAGGAAAACCGTTTCGCTTTCATTCTGCGCATTCACATTATCCGTCAGGTCCAGCGAAATTCTGCAAATATATTTCGGAATTCGAGTGGGCTTTCGTTGTCGGAATCATTATTGTTGCCTACTTATTGGGATGCGGCTTGACTTTGCCACCAACGATGAGCACATGACCAAACGGCACCTCGGTCAACACTTTTGCCTTCCAGACGTTCATCGCGATTCAACGGCTCCAATGCAACTGATTTGTTGGCCTGGCACGGCAGATATTGTACGCCGTATTTTATGCGATGTTATGCTAATAGAATTGGCATTCATTGGCTTTCTACATTTATTATGATTATGTAAAGCGGCATGAAATGAAGAATTACCTGCAGCCGCATGCAAACTTGACATGGACATGGACATGGTAAGGTTAACCCGTCATCGAAGGACCCAGCCCCCTCCCCAACCATCGCCCACCTTGACTGCACCGAAACCTTGTGCCTTTATTTATTTGATTCAATCCTTGCCTTTGTAACCCATAACTGTCATCCTGAAGTTCTTTTCACGGTTGTTGGCCTCCACCCCGGCCCGCCGTTTGTGTAGCTAGTTACCTGGCCATTGTTGTTGCGTGTCTTTTCGACAAAGGGAGCGAAATAAAACAAGGTAACAATTGATTCCCTGTCTAAAGTTTTTGCATTTACCAGCAACGAACACCGCCCATCCCAACCAGGGGCCCACTCGTCATCATCATAATCGTCAGACTTCTTAGGCTTTTTGGACAGGGAATTCATTTCTTTTGACGTTTCTTGGCACCCTCCGACTGCACCCACCTGACGCCAATGACATCGAGTAGTTAAGCGATTTGGGGTCTGGGGTATTCAAATATATATATTTGGCGTTGTGCTTTTCACGTCCTCGTCTGTCGTTTGCACCTGATCAACTTTTATTTTTACAGCTTATAATTGCGTTTCAACAACTTTAGCTTTGGGGCCTTAGCCTTCGGGGCACTACCGGAGATAACATTCCAGCTACGCATAAAATCCAAGCCATTTATTAAATTATGACTATGTTTAGATGTTATAAATTAACTATCAGTTGGTGGGGTGAACTATCATTGAACCCTTGCGACCTTGTCGACCTTTCTCGTGAGCCCAACTTCAAAAATGCTGACAACATTTTGTACATTTAGTAATGGTCTAGCTAATGATGGAGTCGTTCCGAATTCAAATAGTTTAATTATAATTAGGTTTAGGCTATTGATAAGCAAATAAAAGCTACAAATTAACTATCAGTTGGTGGGACAGGGCATTGAACTATCATTGAATCCTTGTCGACCTTTCTCGTGAGCCCAACCCCAAGAATGTAGGCAATACTTTGTAAAGCAATAGAGCTCATGAAGTAGTCTTTCTAAATTCATCTTTAATTTTTGCCTATCACTCTCTCTAGAAAATAGCTAAATTGGCAACAATCCTCTTGAGTGCTACCCTACGGAGCACTACCGCTCTGGAGGCGCCATTCCCAACCAGCTACTCTTCAATCCCAACCAAATCGTTCAATTATGATTAAGGTTTGGGCCATTAGTTACCAATAGAAGTCTTTAATTAATTATCAGTTGAGGGGGGTTCATTGAACCCCGGCGACCTTGTCGACCTTTCTCATGAACCTAACCTCAAAAAGCAGGCAGCACTTTGTATTTATGAAGAAATACAGCTAATGAAGTAATCGTGTCGATTTCAACTTTAATTTCCGGTTGTCACTCGTGCTGATAACTCGAGCAAGGTTCTGTGTACGTTGCACAATTATCAGTTTCCATTTCAGTTTCAGTCTTGAGTCGTACCCACTCCACAATATCTATATATATATACATATATATATATATATATATATATATGAATATATATCTGTGACACGAGAGGCCACGTCGCCGGTCGAACATGCTTTAGCTTGAGCCCTGGACCCCCAACGTCATTATCGACCCTACTATCCAAATAAGCGACGGCTGCTGACAGTCCCAACCTCAGGCATGTCGAATCAGTTAAAAGCTGGCAACGACACGTCTACAAAAAAAATAAATAAAGAAGAAAATCTCAGATTTTACACTCGTGGCGTGCCATGGGCAGGCCTACAGGGGGGTGTAAATCGTACAAACCAATATTGATAATAGATTTATGACCCTATGCTATGGCTGTCCATAAAAAAAGCCCCACTAAAACAGTAGCAAAACCCGATCGTCAATATATGTCTATAGATATGGGTATGGCTATGGGTATAGGGTATATGTGTCTATGGGTCTTGGTAGGGGTACAGGTTTGGGTCTTTGTATTGGTCTGGGTATGTGTATGGGTTTTGATATGTGAATGGGTATTGGTAAAGAGGTCTTGGTATGGATTGGGGTATTGGTAAAGAGGTATACGTAGCCCTTGGATTCTCGACAGCTTCAACCTCTTATCCCCTCTCTCTCTCTCTCTTTCTCTCTCTCAACGGTAGCACAATCAGTTTGAGTTTAAGATTAGGAGCGAGTCGCGTATCGGTGTCATTATCAATCCGACCGATTCGCTACGCTCACTCTGCCGGCAATGAAAGAACCAGAGTTTGTGCAATTTATATGATTAATTGAAAGGGTAACGGGTTAGAGGTAGGTAGGTTGGGTAGGGTAGGGTTTCTTATCTGAGACTGGCTCTCTTTGGTGGCCAGGTGCAAAGATTTATTTTTGCCACAGCCGATCCTCGCAACGATTTCTAGATGACGTTGGCAATTGGATACGATAGTTAGGCAAGTACTTTCCCTGGCGCTCCACCACGTGGCGTTATGTTGGGCATGAAAATAACTTAAGCCAAACGAACAAACTTATTGCAATGCGTTGACAGTTTGCATTCCCTTGGCCCAAGTAATTTGCTGCCCGAACTTTGAATGGAGCGTACCGCGCACTGAGAGACACCTGGTCAATAAATATAAATATATATATTGATTGGCGGATCGAATCTTCTTCTGCTCGTTGCGATCGCACCTGGGAGCGCGTGGCACTATGCACTTGTCGCGTATCGAAACGTAACTGAAACGTTGGATTTGTCGATGAAATTGAAAACGTCAGCGTTGGCTGGCAGGGCCACGAAGTTGTCGATCGGTAGAAACGAGCTCCCTGACTGATATGAATTGCAAGAGCTCGAGCACACACACACACACACACACACACACACCTGTGCAGGTGGAAGGAGGAGCTGCTGCCCCGTGTCTGCGTGTGCGTGAAGCCAAAACAGCAAGCAAATAAATATGAAATATTGAACGCATAAATGTGGGGCAAAAGTGGGTAATATTTTTGTAGATAGCACTACGACAGGGCATACAGGTGTGCGGGCGTGTGTGTCTGTGTGTGTGGCCCTTGTATTGGCTATTAAATTAAAAGCACCCAGATGGAAACGCAATCCGCAGTGCTTGTGCCATGTCAGCAGCGCACATGACATGCTTGATGACATGTCATCGAAGGTGTCTTGCATACAGACTCGATGACATGTCAGGGAGCTTGACTTGTGTTGGACCATAGGCTTAATTCATTATCAGCCTAATATATAATCATTATTTTTATCAAGATTATAGTTAATAAATTAATTAATATATGACAATATTTTATTTTAAAAAGTAATAAGAACGAAGCCAAAAATAGTTCTACACTCAACATGCTCGTAGCAGACATGTCCTAAAGAGTGTCCTGCAAGGCATCTTGCATGACATGTCATCAAGAGAGTCATGCAAGACAACAACCATGACGTGTCCTCAAGAGAGTCCTGCATGACGCTGCAGGCAATTTCATTTAGATGTCAGGTAATGCTTTCTTTTGGCCGCATTTCCTACTGGGCATTGATGCTCCTGCCGCACACAACAACAATGGAAAATGAAATGGAAAATGTCGTTAACAACAAAGTTTGAACAGTTTTGTGTCACATGTATATATGCATTACAATTTTTCTCAATAGATTTCGAGCAGTGAGAGCTCTTCTTATCAGCAGCAGGTAGTTGCCGTGTATCTATATACCTTTACCTGTTCAGGTGTGTGTGTGTGTGCTGCTCCATAACACAAATGACTTCAACTCAAATGTTGTTTGCTATTTGCTCGACATACATACATCTGCGTCAAGGCACTCTTCGAGACACGTTTGCATTGGCGATAGTCGGGGCCCTCCCTTGGGCCCACCCCTCTCTCTCCCGCTCTACAAAGAGTTTCAGTGGCTTTATCAACGAACATGTCATGTTGTGTGTCGAGAAAAACCTCTCATAATTTTCGTCTTTGATGTTTGCACGAGCCGTGGTGTCATTAATTGATTTATTACTAAAGTTGATTGCCATGGAGCTGTCCGCAGCTGTCCGGAGCTGTCTGTCTGTCTGTTGGTTGACACTGGAAATCGATCTTGAGGGTCCATAATAGTGGGTCATGCAGCAGATCCAGAACTACATAATTGCCAACTAATTGAGACAACAATTTTGGTAATGTGTTTGTCTTCTGTCGACCTGTCGCTGAGATACTTTGAGATAACGTTGGCAACATCTTCCGAACACTTAGTAAATTGGTGAGACAGGATTGCTAGCTTTTGGTTAGATCTTGTGCTGGTGGCTGGTGGGTTTTTGTCATTGGATACAGCGTTTGGCGGGGCTGTGTTTATTCGTTTTGGGTTCTTGTTTGCTATGGGAAAAAGCATACAACTCTCGTTTGGTCATGTGTGTACACTTGCCGGCTGTTTATTCAGCTTGCAAATTGAACTTTTTTCAGTGGCTGTAGCAACACGTCTTGCCTTGACTAGCAAAAGTACATAGCGTAGAATTCCACAAAAAGAAATTAAATAAAAATAAAAAAAAAATACTGTGCAGAAATTGTCAATTACGGCGACTTTCGCTGTTTGCCTGGTTGCTCTTGTTGCTGGCCTCCAGTACATTATGCATGATCAGATCGTATAGCCTTGCCTCCTCCTGCGAGTCGTTCTTCTCTGCTGTTGCCTGACCCGAAAGTTCCTGTGTCTTTTTATTGTGTGTCTGTTTGGTAGGCAGTTTCTTGTTAAGAATCTCCAATTCGTTTTTATAGTTCTCCAGTGCACGCTGTAATAGTTTTTCTACAGGTGAATATGTGGTTCGTGAGCGTAGGCGTGCCTTTGCTATTTCCAAAGACTGTACAGAAAACAAATTCGTTAAATATATGTTTTTTAAATGAGATTATATTTACTATACTTACCTTTAGGGTGTTTGCGTTTCTTTGTAGCGCCTCCTCAAAGGATAATATCTTGGGCGACTGTGCGTTTGTTGATTTCTCTGCCAGCTTATCATTTTGACGCTCTAGTTTTTGTTCCTCGGCTTGCCTAAAATATATACATAAGCATTTTAAGTTTCAAATGTCCGTTACGGTGCTCAATAGAAAGCGACATCTGTCGGCAATAACGAGTAGCGTAATGCAGCTTATGTCGGGCTATTGACGTACAAACAACTTTGTTGACAAATAATTATATAAGATTTTAAAAGTTAATAGCTAAAACCATATTTAACCAGTTTTACATACACTTTTATAATAACACTTATTTAATGTTTGCCAAAAAAAAGCCAGGGAGCCGCTCTTATTATAAGCCGCCGCAAAGTATACAGCAGTATAATATTGCATGTAAGCAGTAGGGGCACACTGGCTCATTGCATCGCGGCACATAATCTAACAAAATATAAGCCTACTTTACTTACACTTTTTCCAGTTTCTTATCAATTTCCGCCTCCAATGCTTGATACTTCTCGTTAATTTCCTTTATCAAGTCCATCTTATAACAAAGCGTGATGCCTGGCCAGACACATAAAAATAAAGACTGCAATATTGCAGTCTATTAAAATTGACGCCAAAACAAAATGTTGCTAAGCAACGGGGCTGCCAGTGTTGCCCAACTGTCGATAACTCATTTATATTCCATTTACCCAAACAAGCGGTTAAATTTTGTAATACTGGTCAAATCATAAAAAATATAATTATGTTTCTACAGTATCAAGCCTCCTACTTAATTAAGGCCCGCCAGCTCACACTGTACGATTAACACATTGCGCAACAATAACAGAAAAAAAACCCCGGACCTTTTTAAGCTATGTCAGAGCGAATGTTAAAATTGCAGCTGAGCTAAACGGGATTTTGATCATTATCTACTTATTTAAAAGAAATTGATTGATATGCGGCGCCAGCCGCTCGGGTGTCACCAGGTGCAGATGATGCGTGCCGGGCACTTCCACGTAAACCACATGCTCGGCGTTTTCCTTAAGCGTTGCAATAACCTCAGCATAAACTTCGGGCATTTCGAACTTCATGCCGGGCACACCACGAATGTTAAGCACCTTGCAACGAATTTGTCGAGCATAGGCCAGGGTTTGTTCCGCCGTAAATAGACCCAGCAAGCTGACCTTCAGCCGCAGATCACGCGAGAAGAGAAATCCGCTGTGATTGGGCCGCATGCCGCGCTTCATCAAAATCTTAACAGATTCTTCGTCCACGGAACCATCGTAGGCATCCAACACCAGCTTGATCATCTCCTCATACGAGTAGCAGGGTTGTTTACTCTCCGGCAGAGTTTCATAGTCGAGAAACTTGTCCAGCGCTTTGCCGGTGCCCTCTGCCATGCGCTTCACGCCACGCACCGTTGGTCCAGCGATATCTATGTTGATCAGCTTGGCCACCTCATCGGGAAAGCTGGCCGCATACATGAAGGTGAGTGCGCCGCCCAGCGAGTGGCCCAACAGCGTGACATTCTTCCAGTTGTACTTGCGCACAATGCGCCGGATCAAGCAAATGCCGTCCCAGAATATAAAGTAATGCATGCCCTGCGGATAGTGCGACGAGTGTCCATGGCCGGGTAGATCAATGGCCAGCACTGAACAGTCCGCCGGCAGCAACGGGCACAGTCTGTCGAATGAGCCACAATTGTCCTGCCAGCCATGCAGCGCCAGAATCGGTTGCGTATTGCGGCAGCCCCACCATTTACCTGGAACAGAAAAAGTCATTAGTTGGATGTGTGTGCGTATATGCGGGCATATGTGTCTGTATGTATAGAAAAAGAACCAGTGTTGCCCATGCAGCTATTTTCCAGCTGAATTACGCTGCATTACTCTTTTCTTTGATTCCGCTATTTCTTTGGAATCGATAATTGGCAACATTGTTCACTCGTCTGGAGCATTCTTGTCCTTCTACAACTTGTTATTGGCGTCGCGCTATTTAATTAGCGTAATCACAGCCATTGAAAACGTGCGGCTGTGATTCGTTAGCTTAGATAAGCTGACTGAGGATGACTCAGCAGACCGCCAGAGATGGAGCTACGCAGTCTCGCTTACCTGCGACGATGCCCCAGGGCACATCTATGGTGAACTCGTCCCAGCTGTTGTCACCCAACATCGGCATAGATACACCATCTGAAAATGCCAAACGAAAGTTTCGCATGAGCGACGAGCAACAACAAAATCATATTTTGGATTAGCTTAAGTCAACAGCTATTTTTTTTTTTTTTATCACGCTGGTGAAATCGGTTTGTCTGGCAGGTTGGACAAAACTTTGGACCAGAGGTCGCAATTGCCCAATTCTCTCACTTGTCTTGGCCGTCATTGTGTCATTCAAAGAAGTTGTTGTTGCGACTCGGGCCTGTGCCATGTCTGGGGACGGACGTCTCGGAGCGGACAGCGAGCACTCGTAAACAATGAAATTTTGCTACTATTCGGCACAGCCAGAGTGTCTCTTTCTAAACAACAATATAACTGTTAACTTAACATTTTTGCGAACTGTTATTAGCAGCAGTACCTGGACAATCAAAATTCTGGAAAACTTATTTTTGGACTTTTTAAAATTTTGTTTGATTGTTTTGATAAAATTCAAGTTGAAGCTGAGAGCTTTAATAAGTTAGTAGTTTTTTAATTTGGATGATAATTACTTTGTCAAAATAGCTGATTTTTAAATTTAGCATAAATAGCTCGCGGTCTAATAACTGCTAACAGAGTAATAACAGAACCATAATGAGTAAATGTCTGGTAAGTTGCAATTACACTAAAAGTTTACAGCTTGACAGAATTGTCAGCAATCATATTGACTACTTTTTATAATTTTATGTATTCACGACAGAAAAATATGAGGTATTGTCTTAATTTACGAATATTTTTGTCGTTTTTTGCCTAAAACGAACTGCTACTCAAAATCAGCGCAGATTTCACAGCTGCTCCGTTCACGTTTTACAACACTTCTCAGGCAAAACAAATTTTAGGAAACAAAGTGTAAACAATATTCTATAAAAATGTAAGTAGACAAATTTAATTATTTATAACTGATTGTGGGTAACATTATTAATAAATATGTGATTTTCAGGACGGAGTACTGGAAGTCGAATGAACGCAAGTATTGCGACTTCTGCAAATGCTGGTTGAGCGACAACAAAGCCGTGAGTAAATATTTGGACCAAATTAGAGAATTGTTTATTACAATTATTTAACTGCTGCAGAGTATTGCATTTCACGAGAGTGGCAAACGACACAAGCTAAATGTGTCCAAACGCATCACGGAAATCAGTCGCAACAGCGAAAAGTCGGAACGCGAGAAACAAAAGATGGACGCAGAGATCCGTAAAATGGAGGATGCGGCAATGAAGTCCTACGCGCAGGATATACACGGCTACCACGGCGACATGACAGCCCGTTCCATTAATACCGTACTTAGCGCAACAACTTCCAGCAGTGCCAAGCTTGGGCCATACGGCAAGCCGCGTCAAATTGATCCAATGCGTTTGGAGGGCGATTCGGATGAGGATGCCGAGGATCAGCGTCGGGTAAATGTGGATAAAGTTGCCGCCGAGACGGTGCCAGACGCATCGCTCTGGGTGGAGGGCAAGTCCGATGAGGGTCATACATATTACTGGAATGTGAAAACAAATGAATCCGTTTGGGAGCCACCTAAGGAGGGTTATCTCTCCTATGAGGAATATGAACGTATCAATCAGTTGGCCATAGATCAACAGCAGCTCACGCAGGCGGAGGAGTCGCTACGCTTTCGTGCCAATGCGGACGAGGAGGTGGCGCGTTTTAATCGCGAGCGACACGCAAAACTATATCGCAATCCCGAGAATGCCAAGGAGAAGAAGCTAAAGGAAGAGAAACGGCTGGAGTTTAAAACGGAAGAGGAGGCAGCCACCAAGGAGATTGGCCAATGGCAGGTGGTCGAAACCAGGTAAGCCCAAAGAATTCTTTTAGATACAAAAATAGTTAAGCTTTTACAACTACTTTGCAGACCACCAGCCGAGCCCATCGATTGGCAGTTGCCCAAAATGGATTATTATGATGCAGCACCTGTTGTTACCGCTGTGACGGAGACTGAGCCACCTGTCAAGCGTTTCAAGGAGAAAACAATATCGGGCCTGGATGAGGAGGCAGCGAGCAGTGCACCCGCCACATTTAAGAAACGCAAATTTGCGAATAAAGGCAATGCACGCAAGCCTTTGGATGAGTAAATGTCGTACCTGTAACATTTAGCTAATTAAATCATTTTAGACCACAATTAATTGTCATATAATAATCAATTGCTCTTATGGGCAGCTATATGAAAAGTTGTCCGATGCCGTTTAGACACATTTTCAAAATTGAAATTGTGAATAGAAATTTGAATTGTGGCACTGCCAACTTGATTTTTGGTATTTTCGGCGCCAGGTCAGTCTAGCAGCATTTTCTGCTTAACCCAACTACGGCCACACTTTAGCATAGTTAGTTCATTTTTCAAGTTTGCGACGTTCAGTCGTGTCGTGAATCGTCGGACGGGCGTCTCTAGCAGTTTGTTATTAAAAGAGAATTTCTGTTGTGCTTAATTCTGTTAATAACAACGACAACAACAACAGCAACAACGAAGACAAGGCGCAGCGTGTGTGATTCAGTGTGTTGTGGGGCAATTGAGCGCAGCAGCAGCAGCGGGCAGAGTGCGCTGCAAAAGTGTGTAAATAAATTCAATTAATGTAAAAAGAAGCAAAAACGAAAACCAGTGTTGTTGGGTTTTCTCGTCTATGTGAGAGAGCAAAGAGTGCAGTGTAAAAATTAAACGTAAACAATAATAAATAAATGAGAAAATATTTTTGCTTGCTGTCTGATAAATTATAACACACATACAGACACACACAGAAACACAAACACCAATACATTCACACATTTATATATATATATATACATATATATATTTTTTTGGTACATGTGTGGCGGCGGTGTCAGCGGCGTTTGTTGTTGTTCTTCTTTGTGATTTGCAGCCGAAGAAAGGTCAAGCGTTGCGTAAAGCGGTTGCACAAACACGCACACACACACACGGACACACATATAATCGCAAACACGCACACACACGCGCACACTCACACGCACCCGTGTAACCGAAGTTTGGAACTCGATCGTGTTAGCTGTAAATCAGGCAAAATTCAGTTCGTCTACGTTTACAACAGCAGTGTCCCACACGCGGCTGACATCTATCAGCCTCATTCACGTTATAACGGCAGCAACGCCTACGATTCGGACACCGAGTGGCTGGAGGACAGCGGGCCGACGGAAGCAGGAAACAAAGCAAACGACGACAACAACAGCAACAACAACAACAAAAGCAGCAACAACAACAACGACAATAGCAATAGCAATAGCAATATGGCAGTGCGCAAAAAACAGGACGACAAATACCTGCTAGCGCTGCGGGAGCTGGTTAACAGCGGCGCAGGCAATCGCCAGTGTTTCGATTGCAACCAGAAGGGGCCCACCTACGTGAACATGACCATCGGCTCGTTTGTCTGCACACGCTGTTCGGGTGTACTGTGAGTATTTAAACTACCTACCTGCTTGCTTTAGTATATAAGCCGATCTACTCGTTAATTAATACTC